CAATCCTAAAACAAATCATGCTCTAAGACCTTGTGGAACAAAAAGAACTGAGCCCCGCAGCAGTGCCAGCACCCATGGACCGTGCTGCTGTTGTGCTGCCTCGGTGATGGGCAGAAAGCAGTTTGAAGCGCCCCAGCCCGGGCCTGCATCCCAGGCATCACGTGCAACTGGATGTTTACCCCAGTTGTTTTTCTTTATGGAAAATAACTTGAATTACTTGCAGCGTTAGAAACCCAATACTGGCATGTTCTTTAGGTGACCAAGCCAAACAACAGCTCTCCAGTTATAATCGATAGGAGTGAGGCCTCCCTTGTGTCGAAGCCGGGCAGATGCTTGTTGCTGGGAGGGAGGCAGGGGGGTGCTGTGCGGGACCGGGGCTGAGCTGCATGGCAGCAGGGGGGCTTTTGGGGAGGGATGGAGCCTGGGACTTGTCTGTGCTGAGGGAGCTGGAGTGTCCCAGCAGGGAAACGAGAGGTTTTAAGCTTTGCCGGTAGTGCTGCACCTTGAGCAAAATTCGAGCCTGCCCTCATTTAAAAATTCCTTTATAATTGCGGGTTTTGTGAGAGGCTAATCTGTTTACACAGGCAGAAAGGCAAGAATGTGCTTCCTGGGAGTGCTAACAGCAGCTCCACCACTAGGGAAAACTCCTGGGTGCACACTAGGGAGAGTCCAGAAAAGCAGTTTTTCTCACAGAAATCAGAGCTGTCCCTCCTCTTCCCATCTTCTCCTTAGTTCAACAGGTGAGGGGGGAAAATCATTAATTCTGCACTGCTAATTGTCTTCATAAAATGTTGGTCTTGAACTCACCCACCTCCTCTGGGTGTTGAGAAAATCAAACCTCTGCCCGTGCATATCAGAACCAAAGGGAGTCACTACTGATGGCCATGGCTGAGTATGTCCTGTGGTCTCCAGCAGCTTCTGGTAAGGAGTCTCCAAAATGAGAAGCCCATATATTGGTGGATAGGGGGAAAAACAGAATAAACCACTGGTCTTGAAACTTTTTTGATCAGTAAAAAAATGTTGAGTGTGCACCCCCAATATATGTGTATTTGTTTATGATTTATATACATGTACTACTGTAGTGATACATACACTATGAAGCATACACAAAAATGTAAATTAAAAAAGGATAAGGATGAAATAAGCACTGCTTTTAACATATAACTTTTTATTTTATTTTACTTATTAGTGGTGCAAAAAGTATTTTCTTCCCACGGCCTGATTGGTTGTCTTGCACACCCACTCTGGAGACCATTGGTATAAGCCACTGGTTGGGAGCAGAGTTGGTTATCTGGGTCCTGCTTGAAAACTACAGGAGCCATGTTACTGTGCTGGGGCTGAACAGGGGAAAATAAAATTCAGAAAACTTTAATCAGGTCTGTAAATAGAGGCTGTCTGCAGCCCAGCCAGGAACTGCTGGAGTCAGCTAGATAAATCTGAGCAAAGCCTTTGTTAGGGGAATGTTAATGTTTGGTTAAATGTCTTTAATTGGAACAGAAAAAGCATGTGAACAGCTTTTGAATTTCACTCTTTAACGGGACATGAGGGGGTATTGAGATGTCAGGACTTTTACTTCTAATGGTGGACAAATAGTGGGGTGGGAAATGAAGATACACAGTGGTGATGGGATTTCTGAGCATCAGTGCTGGCAGCAACCCCCAGCTCTTTCGTGTCCATGCAGTTATTTAGTGTTGGGCCAAAACACATGCCTTTGTGTGTAAAGTTATCACCTGAAAATTGGTATCAAAAGATGGATTATTGTGAAATATTGACACCTAATGGCATTTTACATATTAGACATCTGTGAAAAACTTTATTTCCATGGGCTACCTTCATGTCATCGATGAGGGAATAACTGCAAGTGGAAATTTGTATTAGGAATATGCAAAATGGCTCTGGGAGTTGCTTAAAACCAAATGTGCTGTGACTCTATTGCCTCGAAGTTACAAACAGCTAAAATTCAGCCATACTGGAGTAATGCATTTACAAGAAAGTGATTAAATATTTGTGTTGTGAAAAAGTCCCCTCGTTCCTATGTAACTATAAGTGAAGTTCTCATAAATAATTAATTTTAGACTGTGACCAAGCATGGTTAGTAGTCAACTGTCATGACTCAATGAAATAGATATAATCTTGAGAGGACTTTTCTGTCTGTGATTAACATTAGGTTTTGCAGTGCCTTTCATAATCGGAGAACAAACTCTGCTGCCTCCTGAGCGACACAGGGAGAACACAGAGAAACTTGTTATATTCCTTTTTATCTGGCTGCTCTCATACAGACAGCTTTTGTTAGCGGTTACCTTTTGTCTCCTTTCCCAGCCTTGCAGTTGAGAACAATCAAGTTCTCAAAACACCTTATTTGCCTCTGTTAATAAATTAGTTTTTAACTACGCGTTTGCCTCAGGTGCTTTACTGCAAGCTGGATTTCAGAGGCTTGGGCAAGAAATTTCTTCTTGATTTATTCCTGCCTGGCTGGGCCTACCTTGCACCACGGTTGGCAGAAATCATGGCACATGCACCGTGTCCTGCAGCTCTGCGCCTTTCATCCCAGAGCCTGTGTTCCTGGACTGGGTGCCTGTCTCTGACAAAAGACAGCATCTTCCCATTTATGCAAAGCAAGCAAGCATGATGAAATTACTTGTAGGATTATGGAAGGGTTTGTATGAAGGCAGCTTACTGTGATATTGTTCCTGACGTGGAGTTGTGCATGTGCCTTTCCCATTGAGGTTGCAGGTGAAGAGTGCCCTTACAGCATGAAAGCAGGTGAGAGGAACAGTCTCACTTGTTCAGGGGAAAAATATGGGTCAATAGATACATTCACACAGACAAGGCTAAGGTTGGGTTCATGGATTGTCACGTTTTGTTTAGCACAGGCTTTGGGTTGTCACTGCGCGTGGACAGTGCCATCGCTGTGAATTCAGGGTGTTCCTCTGCTGCTGTGCGCCCACAAATGCCGATACTCCTCTTTTATCATCACCCGAGAATATCTGTTTTACCTTCCAGGTCTCACAAAGCTTTTAAACGTGATCTCTTTGCAGGACGTGATCGGCGGAGCACTGATTTCGGCTGTCCTGCTCATGCTCTTGTATCCTGCGTGGGACATGATAGATCACTTGCTGTTAACTAGTCCCTTCTGTCCACTGCTTTCCATAGTTGTGCCTCTTGTCTTATGTTACAACTACCCCAAACTGGACTATTACAGCCCTACCAGGGGAGACACCACTACTATCTTAGGAGCAGGAGCTGGAGCAACTGTGGGATTTTGGTTAAATAACCAGTATGTTGTGCCAGCCTATACCAGTGAAAATTTTCAGCTTGGACTTCCTCTGATCACCAGTAAAATAGTGATGGTCGCTCTAGCCAGGTTCTTCGTAGGGATCTTTGTTGTTCTGCTGACGCGCCAGCTCATGAAGAGCGTGGTCCTTGGCATGCTGGGTTATCGGTACAAGTTTCCTATTGGCGACCTGGAAGCCCGGAGACGACTGGAAGTCGAAGTGCCGTATAAATTTATAACGTACTCCTCAGTTGGCTTCAGTGCTACCGTGATTGTGCCACTGCTGCATGAGCTGTTAGGATTGATATGAGTGCAGCGCCTTCCTTACAGAGTAACGTATGGCACCGCCTTTTCAGAGACGTGGTAAGTCGATCAAGGCTGGTAACTTGACTAAAAAGTGTTTTGTGCCTTTCTGCACTGGTGTGGTGGGTTGACCCTGGCTGGATGCCAGGTGCCCACCAAAGCTGCTCTGTCACTCCCCTCCTCAGCTGGACAGGGGAGAGGAAATCTAACTCAGCAATTACCGTCATGGGCAAAACAGACTTGACGTGGAGAAATTAGTTTATTACCCATCAAATTAGAGTAGGGTAATGAGAAATGCAACCAAATCTTAAAACACCTTCCCCCCGACCCCTCCCTTCTTCCCAGGCTCAACTTCACTCCCCAATTCTCTACCTCCTCCCCTCCAGTGGTGCAGTGGGACGGGGAATGGGGGTTGTGGTCAGCTCATCACGCGCTGTCTCTGCCGCTCCTTTCCCCTCATGGGGAGGACTCCTCACACTCTTCCTCTGCTCCAGCGTGGGGTCCTCCACGGGGCGTAGGCAGTCATCTGCTCCACTTCCCATGGGCTGCAGGGGGACAGCTTGCCTCACTGGTCTTCACCACAGGCTGCAGGGGAATCTCTGCTGAGGCACCTGGAGCACCTCCTCCCCCTCCTTCTTCACTGACCTTGGTGTCTGCAGGATGTTTCTCTCGTCGTCTTTCCAGCTGCTGTTCTGCAGCAGGGTTTTTTTCTCCCTTCTTAAATCTGTTATCCCAGAGGCACTACCCACCGTCACTGCTGGGCTCAGCCTTGGCCAGTGGCAGGCCTGTCTTGAAGGCAGCTGGCGTTGGCTCTGTTGGGACATAGGGCAAGCTTCTATCAACTGTAGCCCTCCACTACCAAAATCTTGCCATGCAAACCCAACAGAACTGGCCCATTCGGAAGAGTCACAGGAATTTCTGTACACAAATTTGAGTTAGAAATAGCTGACCCCACTGTGTCTCATAATTAGAGGCCCCTGGGCCCAGATGACTAGTGATGACAAAGCACGGAATACAAAGCCAAATTCGCTGCCGGAGTGGCAGCAGGGGCTGGTTTGCTGTGGGGTCAGGGGTGCCGGGAAGCGTGGCTGTGCCTGTGGGATGCTGGCCCTGTGGCTCCGTGGGCTGTGAAACCACCTGCCTGGCCATGGGGTTGCTCTTCTGAAGCAGGAGGGCCAGCCAAGGAAGGGCTCACATTTGGGCTATGGGGGAGCGATTGGCTGGTAGGGTGGGGTATGAGGCAACCAGCCAAGAGCAAATTGCTGTCCTTGGGGCATGCAGAGCTCTGCATCCTGCTATCCCCTGGGGACTAGGAGCAAAGGAAGGGTGGCTGAAGATGCGAAGGTGGAGGGAGGTGGAGGCTCTTCAAGTGCTGGCACCTTCCCGCTGTCAGGCTTCAGTGGGAGCATCCTGCTGGCCAGGATGGCAGGTTTCTTCAGCAACCAGTGTTGGCAGAGATCAGATGGACACACTTGGGTATGGCTGAGAAAGAAATCTCATTATTGTACTTGTTGCTTGGCATAGCATCCTCTGATGGCACTGCCAAACCTGGCTAGTTCTGTGTGTATGGGATATATATATGTGTATATACCCATTGCAATCCCTCAGGAAAAAATAAAACACAAACAAGTAAAAAAAAAAGAAAAAAGAAAGAAAAATCCAACATAAAATATGTTAAGTGATTTGTAACAAATTTATCTTAGATATTAATAAAAAAGCCTCCACTAAAAGATTCTTTGGCTACATACAGCTGAGCAGAGTTGTTACCACAGTGTTGAGGCTTGTGTTCAAACTGTTTAACTCCAATTTAGTTTCCCTGTCTTAGGGGAGGGGACAAAGTCCTT